ACATGATCGACAACAGAATTATTATACACAACAAAAAATTGTAAATATTTTAACAAATATGTTTGCTTTTCTAAATATTTCTCAACTATCAAATGGTTTATCACAAAGAATCAATACAATTTTAATAAATGCTAATATGAATAATAAAAAGAGTAAAATCTGTTGGAATACATTTTGTACATATATTCTTAATAATTCATCGTCACTTCAACTTTTATTATCAAATTCTATCAACAATGAAAATTTTGAAGAAAAGTTAATAACACCATGTTGACTATTTAAAAATTTTTTTTTTTTTTGATTTTTTGATTTTTGTATCAATAAATGATAGTAATTCTTTGGAAATAATTAAGAAAATATTTGTAGCGAATAATTTGTGATTAGATTATGGAAATTAGAATTTTGAAATGAAAAGCTAAATCACAAAAAATCATCCATTGGTTTCTTTCAAAAACAAAAAAAAAAGAAATTGTACGTTCAAAGATTCAGATGAAAATATCGTCTACTATATTATTTAGATGACAATACATTTAATTAAGAGATTGTTTGATCAATATTTGTTTTCATATATTTTCAAAACGACTATATCAAAGAATATGTCCACACACGCATATCTCGTTATCTAACTACGTAGGCAGGATATCATTACTTTATTTTTATGACGAGTGTTTGTTCTATAAAAGAAAAGTCAAATGATCTATTGACGCCATTATTTATTTGTTATCAACAGCTGAATTTCTTTTTTTTTGTTAACTTTACTCTTCAAACACTTCATATTTATCTATTCCTTAGTAAATATTAAAAGACGACAACTATTTGATTCAACATAAAGAAGGGTGTGGGTGTGGTGGGTGTGGGTGTGAAGGGGAAAACATCCACACCCACATCCTTAAACACTTAGGAGTAAGAAAAATGAAATAATTATTTATTAGAGCAAGATTGACGAAATGTCAAAATATAATTTACCTATATGACTTAATTTAACAAGAATAATATTAGCAAATGCAAAAACAAAAAATGGATAGTTGTGATTTAAAAAACTGAGAGAACATTGAAGCTTGCATTTTTGATTCTATAAATCAAATCATCAATTCAATTCAACGAACACAATAAGTTTTTCATTATCTTCATTTGATAATGATTTTAAACATAAGAATTGAAATAAAATCAAAGTCTCGCTAAAATAATCAATCATAAAAATTGCTAGATAATACTTTCATTCTTTATTCGACAACGTATTTCTCTATTTATAATCATTTTTGAATTATTCAAATGTACAATAATTGTTTTAAGTAGCTTAGAAAGATTATCAAAACAAGCCATTCATTAAATTAATTTGTTTCATGCATTTATCATTTGTGATAGTTTAGATTCAATTGAAACTTCGACAGAACTCGTCTTATATTCTTGATACATTAGTCAAAAGCAAGGCAATATCATATATTTGCTCTTTGACGTGTCCATTATTACTTCAGTAAGATCATTTGTTCTACGTTGGTATATGAATACAAAACGCATGAATGCTCAATGATTCACATAAATGATCATATTTCTCTATATCCATGGATAGTAGTTCTTGATTTTAAGTCTTCCTTGTTATGTGTCACTCAAGTGCTGAAGGGAGAGCAGTTTATTTGATTTCAGATCGAATGATTTATGTCTTTTATTTATCAGTACATCTGTATCAACTAATTCTAAACCATACTGACATAATGTATTTTTCACTCAGATGAGTGTCCGAATTCTATGCCGTTCGAAATATACTATTAAATAATTTTGCGCTTGCTGTTTATTGTAGATGAATATCAATTTCTTCTCTTGAAGGATCTATTTTACTTGAGCAATTGTGAATTTATCGTCTAGTATTTAACCAATGAATATCTAATTCTTGTTGTGTCTATGTCAGAATTATCTTGTCGTGAGAAAAGAATGATTATATTATATTAAACGTATCTTATAAAGTATTGTCATAGATTCTTGATTTTTATTAATGATCAAATTATGTATTTATGAATGAATTGCACGTTGAATAAAATCTCTTAATTTTTGTCTAAAATTTGAATCATTTGGACAATAATGTCCTCCTTTATGTATATAAAATTCAGCTACTAATGGATTAAAATATTGAAACACTTTTTCACTCAGTTCTGGTGTTATTAAAGTATCATTCATTCCTGATATATGAAAAGACGGTAGTAATTGATTTTGTTTATCAAATGTTTCTAATATTGGTTTAATTGTTTCGTCGTTGATTGGAGGACAACCAATAAGAATAACAAATTTAATACAATTAGGAAGTATTGGCCAATTAGGAATATTTAAAAGCATTGTAGCACAAACAATTGCACCTTGAGAAAATCCTAATAAACCATTAAATGGTCCATTGTTATTAATATAGTTTACTACATATTCAATACTTTCTCTGATTGTATCATAATTATAGTTTGTAACTGGATCTTCAGGTTTATAAGACATCCATTGATATCGTTGTTCATTCGAAGAATTATCTGATGATTTTAAAAATCCATAATCAACAAATAAAAATGGTGCATTTATAAAAATAAATTCCATATCTTTCATTGATCGAATTAAAGTACGCATTTGATATTCACGATTTTGTGCACTATCACAAAAACCATGTAAAACTAAAATACGAATTTTAGGTTGATCAACGTTTGCTGCCATACTTTAATATAAAATATAAAACAAATAAGGATTAATTTTACTATGAAATTTGTTATTTTATCGATTCGTTATATTCGTTCGTCCAATAAGAATATTGATGTACTATATGTCGCCTCTTGGCATTCATTTTACTAAAAAACCTTTAATATTCGAATACATTTTGTTATCATCACTTTGATACAGTGCAAAAAGGAATTATTATTACGAAGAAGAAGAATAGTACTGTTTCATCTATCGGTTACGTTTGAACTATACTATACTGGAGTTGATTCGATCAAGTTTAGTAATTAGTCAAAAATCTCTGTCACCAAGAATATTTTAACCATTTTTATTTTCTAGTTTGCATCTAAGTTGATCTTATTGATTAATAATATTCTTTAATATATCAAATTTATAAATTCAATTATCCTTACTAACGAAAGAACCTTTTCGAGTGTGCTCATATATGCCAATCTTATAAGTTGAACTCAAATGAAAACAATTTTTCAGTTTCAAGTCAAAACTTTCAAATAAATACAACCACTCCCTCGATTTAGGTACCACGAAAACATAGATAATTAAAATTAAAATGTTGAAACTTGAATAGTAGTTGTTCAATTGAAATCAATTTTCAAGTTTGACATCTCTGCATCTTCATAGATATTGAAAGTTATATGCTAATTCTAGTAGATGATTGTCCTTTTAACGATCATACATCAATCAACATCTAATTTCTTACAAGTGTTGCGTTCTTCGATTGTTTATCATAAGATGCTTAAGCTATTATAATTAATACTTGCTGATAAAATGACTTCATTATCAAATGGGTGTTTCACAAAGTTATTTTAACAGGAAAAAATTGTTAACTCTCGATGACCATTTATCAGATGAATATCGAATTAACCAAGAATCTGACCGATGCCGAGAATTTCTGATAAGTCAATGGTTTTAGTATGTGAATTAATTTCACTAGGCAAATGCTCTAAAAACAATGTTGTTATACACTTCTGTAGTAAATTTAAATTTTCTCTCGACATGAGAAACACTTTTTTGCTTAGTTTTTTGAAACACGATTCTAGTCTTGGGACTTGAAAGATTGTACACTTTTAGTATCAAATGGTTTAGCTTTCATTGAGTTATGACTATAACAAAATTAAAAGTGTTGTTCTATATTCAACATGAAAACACACTTTTTTTTGAACGTTTTAGAACATTCATTTGTACTTAAGAAGTTGATTAATGAGAAAAACATTGGTTTTTCTCGAATGAATGATGATAAAAGCTAGGTATTTAACACTGTTGTTATAATATCTCAGAAACTAAAACATATTGAAACTTGATTTTGTCAGAAATGAATAATTACTTTTAGATTAATACGTCACAAAAAATATGTACATATAGATCAATTAAGTAGAATTCAGCTTAAAGACATTTATTTTTTCGTGATACAATGGTAATACTTTTCGCTCATATAATTGCATTCAACATTAATGCAAAAGATGTCGATAATGTCGGTTTTCATATTTATTTTTTATTCCTTGCTCTTTTCTGTAATGCACTGTTTAAAATCAGTCGATTTGTGTTTTTTTTTGTTAATAAAATAATGAAATATAGGTCTTACAAAAAAAAGAAAACATCTAATATAGGATACATAGCAAAACTTCTATTAGAATTTGTATTTTTAGGGTCAATTATAGAACATTTTTTTCGTACTGTGAAGTTTTTGTTCATTATTGTAAACAAAGATGATTTTCAAGGTTGTTTTACGATACAGCACATTTGCGATAAGTTTTGATGTTTACGAAGAAAGAAAAACTAACTGAATGAAAAAAAAAACGATTTTTTTTCTTCTTTCTATACGTCAAAAAAAACATGATTTCATTACCTATGTACCTCTTTTTTAATAGAAATCAGTACTCTGAAAGTTAAAAAAATATTGTTTTTTATTTGCAAATTAATATTCAACATATAATCAAGTGAGTATTATTATGAAAAAATAATCATATTTAAACAATAAATGAATTATAAATAAGCACAAAATCAATACATCATGATTATTGAGTACCTTCTAAAATCTATATTCTTTTATTAGTATTGATTGATTCAATAAATTCATGACATTTTTATCCCAATATCAAGTCGATACAAGAATAGAAATAAAAATATGATTTTGATAATTATCACATGTTGTTTTATCTTAATTTTTGGTGAGTGTCATTATTTTTGCAAAATTTTATGAAATTTCAACATTAGTAATTCAACCATGTCGTACTCTACGATGTTATTCATGCCATGGAACAAAACAATGTAATTTATCATTTTCAAAATTCAATGATATGAAACTTATGGATGGAAATGATCTGTATGATTCTTGTTCGGTTAGTATGAAATTATAGACAAAAAAACAAATATTGATATATATATATATTTTTTATGATGATTTATTTTTACATGTGAAATAGATAACCTTAAGTTCGGATGGTTTAATTATTCGAAATGTTATACCATCGCGTGCTTGTCGAAGTTCAGCTTATCAATTTTGTTGTAATCAAGATCTTTGTAATTTTCTTCCTTCACCGCCATTACCAGCATTTACTACACTCACATGTGCTATTAATGACTGTCGGATGAATAATAATCAATGTAACAATTCAAATGATTCTGTTATCTATCGAAGCAGTGCTACTGAATCATGTATTGTGAGTCTATCATACACAAAATCGTTTTCTCTTTAGGTAGTTTATTTTTAGGACTTTTAGTTATAAAAACCTCAAAAGATTGAGATTAGCATTATTTTTCAGATTTGAAGACTCTCAAAATTGTTTTGGCTTTTTGAAAAATTCCTTTCATTATAAATGATGAGATGTTTTTATGTTTTCTTCGAAGCGAAATCAAAAACGCCTAAGATTCATTCAGTCGTTTATTTGTTTTCCAATTTATTCTTCAAATATCAGATCATAAGTATAATTCTAGCTCTTTTGTTTTTCCATATAGAGAATTCATCGTGATATTGTTTACAAATCATATCAAATAGGTTGTTCACCTAAAACTACTGCAATTACATCATTAACTGGTGAATTGATATCTGAAAATTTATTTTGTTGTAATTATCCCAAATGTAATCAACGAATTTTTCCACCAGGTGAAGCTATTCGTTGTTATACATGTGATTCACGTATAACTGGTTTGAAAGATTGTATGATATTGAATACATCTAGTTCACATGTTTATAATTCTGCATCATCGAATCCATCAGAATCGTGTGCTGTGAGTAAATATGAATGAAAAATTTATAATATTAATTTTTTTTTATTAACTATAATTTTTCTAAGATGATTGTTGGTCAAGCAGGAAAAGATCTTATGACTGGACGCAATTATCCAGCTTTTACGATACGTACTTTTATTAATAATTGTATTAATCAATCGTTAGGTAATGTAACATATGGTGGTGCTACTTTTCACGGTCGTATTGATTGTTGTTCGACTTCTCTTTGTAATATACATCGTAAGTTCTAATTCAAAAAAAAAATAATTAAAACAAATTCTTTTTTCTCTTGTTAATCTAGCTTTGTATATTAATTTAACATCGTCAACAATAAAATCAAAACATGTTTTTTCTACTTCAAAAGTTATTGTATCTACTTTGATTATATGTCTCGGATTCATTTTTATTATCATCGGTATTTCATTATCAATATATCGATTTCGTCTGAACAAATCATATCATTGTTATACTCCAGGAATTTTTAGTGATGGTTCAACAACATTATTTTTATCATCACGTTTAAATTAATCATGATTACTTTCAAAAAGGATTTGACTACTAATCATTTCAAGTCGATATGATCGAAGAAAATGAATTAGTTTCATATTAATTGTAGTTTTAAACTGTTTTGTTTCTTTTTTTATTTTTCTAAGAATAGTGTAATTTATAGAAATGGAATGGGATGATAAAACTATTCTTTTAACTAAAAGTTCTTGTTAACCAATTGGTTCTTGTAGTTTGCATTAAAAATTTTTTTTCACTAAGTTCACATATGTGTGTTTTCGGAAGATAGTAGTCTTCCAAAATAACAAATTGAATTCTTGTAAAATCAAATTTTATCTGATTTCAAAGAAAAAAAGAGAACAAATAAGATTAAAAAAATACAAACTTTTTTAATATAAAGTTCATGTAAAAATGAATTAAGTTTATTAATCAGAATAATATCATTCGTTTCAAAACCATTAAAAAGATCATCATGCTTAGATTAAAAATCATTGATGATATATGTCTCGTTGTTCCATTGCAATAATCTTTATTTGAACAGCAATAGACAAAACCACCTCCAGTACTATTGCCAGATGTACAAGATCGACCACCTGCCATACGTTCAACATAAGTTGAATATACTACTTTCTAATTGAATACCAAATGTCGAAAAATAATGTTCTTTACAATTCATTACTTACTGCACAATAGTTATTATATGGAACTGGAATATCTCCTGATGTGCTTGGATTATATGGATCATTACAACCAGAATTACTTGAACCAAGACATGATACACAAATTAATCCATTTGTTATTTGGATTAATACTAAAGTAATAAATTAATATGATTCAATCGGAAAAGAGATATTTACCTAATAAGTATAGAAATGATAAATTGAGCAAATGCATTTTTATTCAGTTTCGTAATGTTTGTACGAATGAATTTTTGAATAATAAAAGAAACGAATACCTTTCTAACAGTTATAAGAATGAATTACAATAGACAACACCAATAAAAAAAAGACACAAATGTGAAAGTCATTTGCAATTTAATAAGAAAACTTATTTGTTTTGTTTGTTGTTAGGAATTTTTTTTTCAGAACAATGTATGTTTTGTCAGAACTCATGCTCATTTTTTATGCATTTTTTTAGAACTGTGTAAAGAAAAAACTACATAAAATTTTTGTATTGAAAATTTCAGCCTCGAAAGATATCAGATATTTGAGATTACAATAAAATATAAACATAAATCATGATGAAAATAAAAACTCTGCTGTTACTAGAATAATTTACTAATATTTTCAGGTGACTTAAGGTAAACAACAAATTTGATTTCATTGAATCATTATAATGAATGTTTTTCTTGCATTATTTTGTAAAAAAAATACGAATAGAAATGCAGAATTTTTAATCAAAATTCAATAAGAAAAAATCAATTCAGATAGAAAAATAATAAATACAAAATATAATAGAATTGCAATGATGATTTAAGAAAGTCTGATTTATAATTTCGAGAAATATGATTGTATGTCATTCATATATGGGCCAGGTACAACTTGTCCCGTTTGTGGATCACAATATCCTTGTATAAAACTCGTTCGATTGATTGCAGGTTGTCCAATACATTTACCACGAACTGTAATTGAATATTCTGTATATTTATTTTCACCATTCATGGTCAATAAAGGTTTTTCAATACTTGGATCAACTATAAAGTGTACAACTGTAACTCGAATACCAGAACCATCAACAAGTAATGGATCTGATTGAACATTTGGATACACTATATCCCATGTAAGATGATCCTATTGAATAGCAATGAAATAAAATTTAATTAAAAAAACAAAAAGCTTTTTATTTACTTGAACTGCAGCACCATTAAATAGACCAAACCATAATTGTGGAGAAACATTACCTGCATTAAATCGCAGTATAGATTCATCTATTCGTTGTTGACATATAGCAGTGTCTGCATCTTTACATTGTTGTGTCTCACCAGCACAACTCCACCAATAAATATATTCTCTACCATCAAAACCAGGTCCCTTAAGAGGAACAGGCCATTTTTCGACAAGATTTGTTATATCATAGACTGATGCGTTTCCATAAGCACGACATGGATTTTTACGATCAATTAATAATAAACTTGCCCAACAAAGATTTGTTAGAAATATACTGATTAAAATATATGATAAGATAATAGATGTTTGAAACATTGTCAATGTATCTAGAATAAAAAATAAGTATAATTATCAATTAGAATCCAAAGTGAAAAATCAAGATTTTTGTCTAGTTGGCTAATATTGACAATGATAATTGTTGAAAGTAATAAACAAAAGTAAAGAAAAGATATTCATATTGACTGCAGAGATCGAAGATAAAGAATAGTTTCTTTGTTTTTTTTTCTTATCATACACGTGAAGTTATCTTGTTTTAGTTTTTTTGTTTTTGACTCTATTTGTTTAAAATCGAGCACTTTGGAATCTTTGCTGATTGATATTATCTAATAAACTTGTCTAAGAAAGGTTAGATATTTTATGATTAGATTGTTCACGAAAATTTTATTGTTACTATCATTCACCGTATAAACTAAAAAGGAACATTATAAAATCAGTTAATCGTATATTAATCGAGGTATAACCACTAGTATTTCGTGTGATCGCATGATTATATAATCTAACAGCTGCGATTCTTTTTACACCGATCGTTGTAAGCATCTTCAAATTTAATGACAAAGAAAGCAAAATTAAATGAAAATGTGTTCGACTACATTTACATCATGCCAGAAATATTTGCGATTATATCGTAAAAATTTGATAAGGTTGAATTAAGAATTGCGAATATAATTATACCTCCAAGAGTAATTGTAATATGGGTTCATAAGAGCGTAATTGAACCGTAGTCAAATCTAAGAGGAGAACGCTGAATGTTGGCAGAAACAGAATATCTAGAGAACCAAATATTTGACAACATGGGATTTTATTATTGATAGGGCTACAATCATTTATAAATTAAAGCACCGAACAAATCTCGTTGGGTCTAATGAAAAATCAACTACTCCTAGTTGCCTTCCATCTATTTTTTCAATTTGACAGTAAAATTCTTGTTTGTTGTTGTCTCTCTCTCTCTCTGAAATGAACCTCTCATTTACGACTTCTGAAGAATGAGAATCAGGCGATATGATACGCTGATGGAAACAATTTGATTTGAAACCTACAAAATCTCTGTATCACAACTCTACGTTCGATTGTCAAAAAAAATTTTTAATATCCTTCGTTCTCCAAGGAGAATGGTATAGTATGGAAACAAAAACATCATCTTTCAATATCAAGGAATACCTCTAAATGAAATGGTGATATTACAATAGATGATCATCGCCCACCACTAATAACCAACTATCAAAGAATGATTTCATATTATTTATTTTTATATTTCAGACAGCAGTTCTTTTTTGTTTTTTACTGATGCTTCATATTGTATTTATTTTGCTACAATGGACTTCTTAATTATATTCTGTTTTTATTTCATTTTCCTCTTAATTTATTATAATTTTAATTTCTTTTGTGATTGATCAAGCTATCGAGGCAAGTTGCTATGTATACCAATTTAATAAATAGACGACAGACCTCAATGCAACATCTTGTATTGTGGTAAACATAGAAACTCACATATTGATTATTGCTTAAAGTTAGATTTTGATTATGTCATTCTATAGTGTCAGTCGTATACAAACTATATCAAATCTACACACAATTTGCTATCATGATTCACATCTACCATGCAATAGTTTATATGTCATAAAATTCAACAATGTATTTCGCAGTAACTAGGAAATGGGAGAGAACAGTCAAAGAATCATTGTCTTCAACTTACACTGATGTGAGTATTTTTTTTTTCGAAAAATATATGTGAATTTCACGATACAATTCAAGTGAATAGTGAAGCAAACAAGATTGTGATTGTCATAGAGTGGATCTAGCGAACGATACAGATCGTGTCTTCGCCAAATGATGAAACAAGTAATCTCCATGGACATGGACACTTGCTTACATCAACAGACAATATAGCCTTTTGCTTTAGTCGATGATGAGCGAGAACAAGTTGATTATGATCACAATCAATTGTCAATGTCATGTGATCGCCTGGTGCAATATTTTTTTCTTTGTAGCCTTTCAACTGAGCATTGCCATTGAGAATAGTTCGGTCAAAATTTCGCCAACCATAGGCTGATGGTAGTTCTGTTGATCGTGCTGTCATTCCTTGCATAGATGACAATATACCGAAAAATATGCCTTCATTTTTCTTAGAGATGACTCGAAATAGAATGTTATGAGTTCCCGAGGCATACAGTTTGATACCGCAGATACTCGAATAACCAACACATGCTGCGACTAAACCATCCTCTGATAATTTTACACGTCCAACAACCTGGTGAAATCGTTCATCAGCATTTGCGTTTGTTTCTTGCAGAAACGAAGAACGTGACTCCAGCTGAACAGTTGAATGTTGTTCTGTGTTCGCTTTTGATAGGGTAGAAGCAGGTACGGGTGGATCGTACGTTACTCTAATGAGACGAAGAGTAGATGTAGGTGTTGTATCAGTTATAACACCAATTGGAAATGGTTTTTTGAGCAAATCCTGCAGTTTCTGAAGCTGTCGATTCCAATTCTTAAGATCGATTTCAGTCATATCACTTGCTTTGCGGCTGGAACCCATACTCGTAGTAATCTTATCTATGGCTTCATCGAAATCCTTCAACGTTTGCTTGTTATACTGTTGAACATCAGCACGAGCCTTTTCAGCTGTCAAACGTATCTTCTTAATCGAGTCTTGTTCCCAAAGATCAATGGCAGATAAAATTGGTGATGGATCATTTGCTTGTGAAAGACTTCGTCGAAAACGTTCACATTGATCATTAATTCCATCCATTTTTTGTAAAAGTTCTTGTCGATGTTCAGATAAATGGTTTTGACAAAAAGACTGATGGCATCCATCGCAAGTAACAACACCAGGATTTGTCTCACATTTTGCGCATATCT